TCTATGAAAACACCCATTCATTGGCTCACTCAACAGATTTGCCTCCAGCATTTACCGAAAGCCAGGAATTGGGCTAAATTCTAGGAATATAGTAGTCAAGGCAAACAGGTCCCTACATTTATGGAGCTCCTGGAGACAGATAGTTATTAAACATCTCAGTACTATATTCAGACTCTGATAAATAGTATGGGGTTTTTTTTAATACGACAGGACAACATGATAAAGAGTAACTTGAAGAAGACAGGGAGAATATCAGAGTATTTAAGAAAGGCTTCTCTAAAAAATTAATCTGAGACTTGAATGACAAAACAGAACCAGTCATCCAACCTTGGGCAGGAACAAACATGGTATTTGGGAGAGACAGAGGCAAGGCCAATGGCGCTGTAAGCAAAACAGGGTAGCAGGGCCCAGATCACGGACGCTGTAGGCCATAGAAAGAGTCTGGAACGTATTGTAATGGGAAGCCATTAGAGGACTTTGAGTGCCAGAGCCACTTAATTAGATTTGCTTGAGGGGCAGATATAGGCACAATGATGATGTATTTGTGAAATAAAAATAAAAAAATCTGCCCTCATTAGACTGAAGAATAGCTACTAGAGGATCATGTAAAATAAAGTTATGATAGATAGTGTGGTCCAGAAATGGTTTTAGAATTGATGTGATAAAAAAAGAAAATATCATTAAAGGTTGTGATATGAGGTCACATTTAAGTGAGTGATAGGCATTAGACTGTAGCCTTTTTATCTTTTCAAAGAAGATAAAAGAGGTAAGAAACAGAATTAGTCCTCCTGGAACCGATGTCTTCCTCCAGGAGTTTAGTATTTAGACAGAAAGGGCCTGCATGGTGCAGGGTCAGGCATGCAGAAGACACTCAGTACATTATAGTTCCTTCTCTTCTTTCCTCCTTTCCCCTTTGGGCCAGAAGCCACCAGTCCAAATGGAATTCCTAAAGGATGGATGAAGAGTTGCCAGAGACAAACGATAGGAAACAACCCTCTTCTAGATAAAATGCACTGAGGGGTTGACTAAACTTTTGAGGATTCCCATATCTCGTGCTCCGTTCTGGATGTAATGCCAATGAAAGGTTTCTCCACCAGAGGCTTACAGACTTCATTGTTTAAGTAAAAGAACCTGCAAAATAAGAATAACTCCAAATTCAAAGTTGCTGACTCAAGTGAGAATTTCAATAAACATTACAATCTGTTTTCTGGCATGGGAGGGGCACAGAACAATATGAAATAAAACAGCATCTTATTAGAACTGTAATTAATCGCTCTCTCTTTTATCTCATGTTATATCTTGTAACATCTGCTTCCTTTTTGGTCTCTGGGAACAAATATGCTACTACTGATGAAGAGGAGGTCATCAGAAGGGAAGAGGAAAAACAGAGTGGATTAAAGGCAAAATTTCCTTTCTTTTTTTTAAAAAAATTAATTTTTAGAGAGAGAGAGATATCAATCTGTTGCTCCACTTATTTATGCATTTATTGGTTGATTCTTGTGCCCTGACCAGGATCGAATCCACACCAGGGACGAAGCTCTAACCAAAGGCGCCACCCAGCCAGGGCCAAAGGCAAGATTTTCAAATAAGCTTGTGATAGTGTAAAAGTCTAGTATTCAACCAAATCATCTAAAACTCAATTCCATTTACAACTGAAGTTAAGCTGGAACCCTCCTGCTCTACATCTTTATCTGCATCTCAGCAGCCGCAGCCTGCAGCTTGACTGCCTGGCCAGACCGCCAGCCCCAGTCAGCTGTGCAGAGGCGGCAGGCAGGAACTGCTGGGAGGCACTGGGCTAGGCGGCTGAGGCACAAAGGCCACAGATTTCTCTATTCCAACCCAGAAAAGAATTGAGATAGACCTTATCACTCCCTACGGACACATGTTCTCTGGAGTTCTTCCAGACTTTTCAGAGATGTAAATCTGAATATTCACCTCAGGGTCTCCCCTCATCATGGACAAATGGCTCCATCCAAACCAGGCAAAGATCTCTCCTTAGGGTCTGGAAAGGTCTGACAGTGTTACCGGGGGAATGGCACCCAGTCTCTTTAGTCTGAGGCCTGTCCTTCCCGCATACCGGTGGCCCACATCTGAAAACGTCCCTATCCCATAAGCAGGTGGAATAAAAGAGAGAGAAATGGTACACATGAGACACTCAGTTATAAAATCATCTGCTTTTGGAAGTTAAGGTGCCACCGCGAAAGTATAAAATCCCGCTGATGCAAAGCTCCCCAAGGCCCACCTGTCCGGCCTTGTTCACCCTGGAAAGCAGGAGAGAGCCGGGCCATGACCTGAGGGGTTGTGTTCAGTGTAGAGAGTGACAACAAAGGCAAGGGGGGCCCTTTGCACTGTCCTGGGCCAGTCAGAGGTGCCAAGAGGAAGTTTCTGGAGAGATTTGTGGACAAAGGCTACCAGCCAGACCAAGCAGCTCAATCATGGCCCAGGTCAGGGAAGGCACCCACATCCCCTCCCGGCACAACCAGACATGCCAGCCTGCAGTTTCCCACACAAGGGCCATGATGATGTGACAGGTCATGGGTAATACAAATGGCTCTTTAAGTAAGTGGAGTTATTCTACAACTAATACATATGGTGAAATAGGAAATAATGTCCTCGGTATTTTCTGTAAGAAAATAATGTACTAGGCAATTTAAATGAATGCACACAAGTAAGTTATATGAAGGGTGGGGTATTCCCTGTCATTTTCACTTAACTGCAATTCTATCTATTCTCTATCTATCTATCTAGTCATTCCAATCAGAGTTTGACCAAAAGCATATTAGAGCAGTTACTGTGCTATATCTTAACAATCTTAAGATTCCACTGGTGTGTTTCTAGTAAGTGATAAAATGTTGTGATAGGCAATCTAGATAGGTTTTCCCTGCTGGATGCAACAGAATGTATAACATGCTAATGTGCTTTGTGAATTCCCAGGAGAAAAATAAAGTATACAGCAGCTTCAAACTGTTTTGATCACAGAACCGCAGCACAGGAGATTTTGTTGGACCAGAGAGCTGTGTAGCACGATTTTGGAAATGCTGCTCTAGTGAATTCTATACTCTCTACAGCATATGAGAACTATGTGCAGCCCCTGAGAAGCTAAGAATATAAACCATGTGAAATATGAGCATATGGAATTGAAAAAAAAATACACCAGGTTACCGATCTACCAGGGTATATACATTAAGGAGTTAATGAACTAATCAATAGACAATGCCTAGAAAAGTTATGCATGTTAATCAATGAAGATGCACTAAAATCAATGTAAAACACTTGGCCAAGCAAAACAAGGTCTTTAGCTTCAATATAAATCCCTTGCTTTCCCCAAAGGAAACGAGCTTAAGTCAAAGCCCTGTGGCAAGTGAGTGCACGCTCAGGACTAAAGCACCCTGCCAACAATAATTCATACTAGCACTTTACTGTGGAAATAAAATATAAAACTCTTCCCACAGCCAAGAGTTCCATTAGAAAATGAAAAAATCAGCCGCAGCACAAATACAAACGCTCGCCCTTTATGCTCCCAGCCAACTTTCCGGCTCTGGGTTCCTCTGGTGCTGTGCCCACTGCAGTACTGAGGAGCTGGAAGGGCGTCTAACACAGGCCACCTGAGCCAACAAGGCGTCCGTGACTTGCAGAGCACAGGACCTGGGAGCCGGCACTTCCTGGTATGAACAGGGTGTTCACATTGGGGGTGTGGGGGGCAGAGTCAAGCCCTAAGCAAAACAGCACTGATTACCCAGACTGGTGGGAATCCGTGCTCTGTGCTCCAGGGAGCCAGTCTCTGCGCCCACCTTTTCCAGAGGGAAAAGCAGTGCCAGAGGGAAGGTGCTGGAAATCAGAGCTGCGCAGATGCAAGTCGTGCCTGTTGCGTCACTGGTTTACTGCTCTGGGGAAAGGATTGATGGGAGAGGATGAAAGTGGTGAAGAAATGAGCAGGGGCAATGAGCTGTGGCCTTCAAGCCTTCCGCAACCTTCCATGGCCCCAGATAATCATGAGATAAATGACCTCTGTGGAATGTTTTGCAGATGACAGAAGAAGGAGCCACGATGCTAGATAAAGGTGTTTTGAAGCAGAAAGCCAATGCACTCGAGATCCTCTTCTAGCATATTTTGGTATAAATAAAAAGCAATTTGTGTATGTGTGTATATATACATATGTGTATATATATGTATATGCATATGTAAATATGTACATGTATATATATGTATGTACATATATATGCATACATACAAGAAGTCTGGAAGCATATAAATCAAAATGTTAAAGTGCTACACTTTACTGCATGTCAATTATACTTCAATAAAGTTGTTTAAAATTTAACAGTGGTTTTCTCTGAGTTAGGAAAGATTATAGGCCATTATAATTTTTTCCTGCTTTCCTGTATTTTCCAAATTTTCTTGACTATGTATGCACTACTTTTGTACTAAAAACATGTAAAAATTATTTTCAAAAAATCTTATATAATTCATTCAATTTTTTTTTTATGTTTGTGTAGTTCTTTGTGCTTCATCTAGAGTTTCTACATATTTAATCCCTAAAACTGCAGAAAGAATCTGGTCATCATTCCAGACAGGAGGGACTGGCTCTGCGATGTTATGGAATTTATTCCAAGTCAACGAGCTAGTAACCAGCAGAACCAAAAGGTCAATCCAGCTCTCTTCCTACAGGAACAGACTTCGTATAAGACAGAAGTAGCAGAGTTATTAGATAAGATTTATGCAAAAAGAAACATCTTTTCCAGCTCGGTGTTGGTTAAGGGAAGAAATGTGAAGAACCAAGGAAGGTTTGGAGCCCCAGGAGGCACAGTGAGAGGGACAGGACAACTTTTCCTCCTTGTTGCTACATCATACCCTTTGGGCTTCATTTCAACCCCATTCAGAAAGGGAAAGGGAAACTTGAAAAAAATGGGACCAAACACTTAGGGTGACAAAGTACATATAGATGGCACCAACAATGAAATAAAGTGAGAGGTATTCAGACACCGCTCTCTTGGAGGTACCTTCATTCCCGCGGCGGCCGCAGGGCCACTGGGGTCCACGGCCTGGATGTGGCATGGCTTGCTTCCTCGCACCACAAAGCCCCAGCCAACAGCGTCACCAACAATCTATAGAGGAAAACCACAGTGAGCAATCAGCAGACAGCCCCTGGCAATTCTCCCGACGAGAGAGAGAGAGAGAGAGAGAGAGAGAGAGAGAGAGAGAGAAAGAGAGAGAGAGAGAGAGAGCCCAGAAGGAGGTGCGAGCAGTGGCAGATCTCTTCTGTCTCAACTCTACCCTGTCAGGAGTGGAAGGAACACTCTGCTTCTGTTATAAACACAGGCATATCGATGCAGAAACTGTGGTCGGGAAACACTTGTTTGGCAGAAAACAGCTTCTGTGAAGGCACTGATCAATAAGTACCAGGCAGGTTGCCTCTCTCTCAGGTTGCTATACAATTTCAGCAGATAGGAAGGTTAGAGGGTCTTAAACACATGCTTGAATCTTCTCTCCAGATCCAATTTTGACCGGCTTTGCTCTTTCCCCCTAAATTCAAATGATACTTTCTTGATGATCTGCTATGTCACTGTAGACTAAAATAGTAATTTAAGTTACTAATGGTAGGAAATAGGGAGAATCTTGGCTTTCCGGAAACACAATTTTCTACCAACAAAAGAAAGTGAAAAAGTACACAAAGCTCACAATTTACAAGTAGATGCTGGTCTAAAAGTTGTTTGAAGCCAGAGGGTGCCTTTTCCTATAGAATCATTGTTAGAAATGGCAGTTACGTCCCTGGGTGGCTCCCAGTCATGTCTTCAACTAAAGTACAGATGAAACACATTCACAATCAATTCCTAGGAAGGCTGGCACTGAAAGTTAAAACCACCGGGGACAGGGACAGGTTGGAGCGGGTCAATGG